TATTGATTCAATGTAATTGAATCAATAGCGTCATCCAACGCAAGGAAAGTTGGTTCCCTGTGTCGCGCCAAAAATGTTTTTCTCGCTCGAGTCTATCTTTCAAATCTATAAACCAAACATTCGTCCTTGCGTAGAATACTGCTGCCATATATGGTCTTGTGCTCACGCTGTTCGCCTCAAGGTCCTCGACAAGATCCAGAGACGGATATGCAATGTGGTTGGTCCTGATCTGGCATCTCGTCTACAGTCACTCTCTCACAGACGTGACGTCGCCTCCCTCTCTCTTTTCTACAAATACTTTCATGGTAACTGCTCCGACGAGCTACTTTCACTAGTTCCCAGACTGCATGAATTTAAGCGTGCTACTAGGCTGGCATCTCAGTCCAACCCTTTCACTGTCAAAACGGTTAAATGTAGCCGTCTATTCTACTCCAATAGCTTCATGTCTCGCACCTCCCGTCTGTGGAATTCCCTTCCTTTTACTTGTTTCCCTGATAGCTATAATCTCCAACTATTCAAATATAATGTCAATTGGCATCTCCAAATGCCCTGACCTATTCCCTGTCCTTATCTTCTTCCTTTCTTCCATCACGCCTTTTTACTCTCGCTCCCACTCTGTAACACCTTGCGTACTAGTGGCATCCAGCCTTGTTTGGGGTGAAATGCTAAAAAAAAAAAAAATGAAATGGATCATGGATTTGGAAAATGAAAAAAATAGGTTTGCGCGTCAGAACGAGAAATGAGAATCTTGAGTTTTTAACTTTCAAAGGAGTTGTACGAAAAATATAGCTTCAGGTCTCTTTCAAAAGCTAAAGTATTAGTATAAAGTATTATAATTGTTAAGAATCTGAAAAAGAAAACGTCGTTATAAACAGTTATGGTCCAGGTTAGAACCAAAGAAGAACAACACGAACACAAAAGTAGAAATAACGAAGGTATATTACACGAAATAATAATACAAGATGTGGAAGGAGCATGACTGTCTGTCTGGTTTGGAGTGAACTACTATCGGCTCGACTCGATTCGGTATCTAGCCCCCCACCCACGCGGGTTGCATGTGGCACAAGGCCGAGTTTAACGTGGGTTTCCCGAGCCTGTAGGTTCGGCCAAAAAATGCCCGTAGAACCCGTATAAACGGGATCGGATTGGTCAACTTCCCGAACGAGACTCTGCCCTTCGGCGGAGCCTCGTCCGGGTTCCTCTCTGCTCAGAGGAAGAGAGTTCGACCGTCAAGCCAAGAAGCTCGGCTTGATTCGGTATCTACCCACCCCCCACGAGGGTTGCATGTGGCACAAGGCCGAGTTTTACGTGGGTTTCCCGAGCCCGTAGGCTCGGCCAAAAAATGCCCGTATAACCCGTATAAACGAGATCGGGATGGTCATTTCTCCCCGAACGAGATTCTGCCCTTCGGCGGAACCTCGTCCGGGTTCCTTTCTGCTCAGAGGCAGAAAGTTCGACCGTCAAGTCTAGAAGTTCGGCTTGATTCAGTATCTAGCCACCCCCCACGAGGGTTGCATGTGGCACAAGGCCGAGTTTATCGTGGGTTTCCCGAGCCCGTAGGCTCGGCCAAAAATGCCCGTAAAAACCGTATAAACGAGATCGGGTTGGTCATTTCTCCCCGAACGAGACTCTGCCCTTCGGCGGAACCTCGTCCGGTTTCCTCTCCGCTCAGAGGGTGAGAGTTCGGCCGTCAAGTCTAGAAGTTCGGCTTGATTCGGTATCTAGCCCCCCCACCCACGTGGGTTGCATGTGGCACAAGGCCGAGTTTATCGTGGGTTTCCCGAGCCCGTAGGCTCGGCCAAAAAATTGCCGTATAACCCGTATAAACGAGATCGGGTTGGTCATTCTCCCCGACCGAGATTCTGCCCTTCGGCGGAACCTCGTCCGGGTTCCTCTCCGCTCAGAGGCAGAGAGTTCGACCGTCAAGTCTAGAAGTTCGGCTTGATTCGGTATCTAGCCACCCCCCACGAGGGTTGCATGTGACACAAGGTCGTTTTATCGTGGGTTTCCTGAGCCCGTAGGCTCAGCCAAAAATATGTCCGTATAACTCGGCCGAGTTTTCACCCCGAACGAGATTCTGCCCTTCGGCGGAACCTCGTCCGGGTTCCTCTCCGCTCAGAGGCAGAGGTTCACCGTCAAGCCAAAATATGCCCACCCCCCCACGGTTGCATGCGACACAAGGTCATTTTATCGTGGGTTTCCTGAACTCAGCCAAAAAATAAAAAAAACGAGATCAGGGTAGGTCATTCACCCCGAACGAGATTCTGCCCTTCGGCGGAACCTCGTCGGGTTCCTTTCCGCTCAAGGCAGAGTTCGACCGTCAAGTCGAAAAGATCGGCTTGATTCGGTATCTAGCCACCCCCACGAGGGTTGCATGCGACACAAGGTCATTTTTTATCGTGGGTTTCCTGGGCCCGTAGGCTCAGCCAAAAATATGCCCGTGTGACTCGTAAAAACGAGATCAGGGTAGGTCATTCACCCCGAACGAGATTCTGCCTTCGGCGGAACCTCGTTGGGTTCCTTCTGCTCAAAAGCAGAGTTCGACCATCAAGTCGAAAAAGATCGGCTTGATTCAGTATCTAGCCACCCCCACGAGGGTTGCATGCGACACAAGGTCGTTTTTATCGTGGGTTTCGGCCCGTAGGCTCAGCCAAAAAATATGCCCGTATAACTCGTAAAAACGAGATCGGGTAGGTCTTTCACCCCGAACGAGATTCTGCCCTTCGGCGGAACCTCGTCCGGGTTCCTCTCCGCTCAGAGGCAGAGAGTTCGACCGTCATGTCTAGAAGTTCGGCTTGATTCTTCCCTCTCTCTTGAGAGGCGTAGTATACATAGTGTTAGGAAGAGTTCATTTTGTAGTCATAGGTAAGAACCCATGATAAAGAAAGGTCAGTTGAACTGCTTTGTAATATCACGGAGAAAACACGCAAGGAACGGGGAAGTTTAAAGGAAAATGGAAATAAAACGAGCAGAAAGAAAGTGACATTTGAATTTATTGTGGTATATAATAATGAAGGTGGGGATGAAGTATTTTATACTCACCTGATATACTGAATGTAAGAGGAAGAAAAGGTAAACAACGATTGACCTAGTTAACTCATTTTTGAAATGGTTGACAGAACAGAGAATGGGAGGAATAGTAAAACTAATGACAAAGAAACAATATTGTTAAGAATTACTGTTATGATGTGGGGTCTGGCAAGACACAACACTTAACTCGACAGAGTCAGTCGTGATAGTTGTATTTAATAGTGAGCAGGGACAAGCCCAGGACTACTTATCATAAATGGGTCAGTTTGTTCATATAATAGAAAAGGAAAAGATTGGAAATTGAAGATTTCTGCTTCGCTGAGTTTACTATGAATCAAATAACCTCTAAAACAGTGCTTGCTAACTTGTTTTTGAGTTACGGATCACTTGAGTCAGATACCTCTATAAGAACTGGCCATATATTCACAGTCTGATTGGTTTTAACAACACTTTACGCGCATTTCTTTATACTGCGCCCTCATGCACATCAATTTTCAACCAGCCAGACTTGAAAGAAATTGTGACCAATTAATCCTCGCAAGTATATGATAAAGCGTGGAATTATGGGAAATACTATTTGCTCTTATGGAGTGACAAAGGATGGCGGTCGTGCAGAGAATGATTAAACACGTGTTAAATGGTAAACATGGAGCAAACAATAAGTCAAGAGATGCCTAACGGTCGGCCCTGTTGGTGGTAGCCGTGCGGTCTAAAGCAGTCCGGAATATGTAGCTTGTACATAAGCCTAACGAAGGGCACGTTTTCTTTATTAAAGGTTCTCGAATACTCTGGTCGTTAGATGGCAGCTATAATGTAAAAAAAAAACAACAACATATATCTACTCAAATATGCATTCAAACACACACACACACACACACACACATATATATATATATATATATATGAACATTATGGAGATAGAATTCAACACTGTATGTTCACATGTTCAATCAGATTTTAAACCTTAGCATATGCTCCGCAGATCACTTAAGGCGTGATACTGCCAAGCATCAGGAGGTATTCTTTACACAACAAAATCCCAAATTATCTCATATGGGGGGGTATAGACTTACTTCTACCGACGAGAAGTAGTTCAGTCTTATTCAACCCCATCTATACACCGGGGTTGAATAAAACTGAAGTACTTCTCGTCGGTTGAAATAGATCTATACCCCCATATGAGGTAATTTGGGATTTTGTTGTGCAATTTATATGCTCTGTTATAATAAATACATTGAGCTCTTTTGTGGATCAGTTTTAATATCTGATATTTCTAGGATCCATTTGGATTATATAAACGGATTTGTGACCTGTACTATATATATATATATATATATATATATATATATATATATATATATATAAAAGTGAACATTGAAATCAACACTTAGAGGCGACAGCCTGTTTCATACTAGGCTCAATCGTCAGGCCACTATATATATATATATATATATATATATATATATATATATATATATATATATAGTGGCGAAAATAAGTTTAATGTCGATGGTTAAATTTTTATTCATTTTAGAATATGTTTCTCATAAAACAATGTAAATTAGTTTTATTGTGTACGCTTTATGCAGGATTTATTTCTCTTGAATGATGTAAAAATTGTATATTTTTCTACATCTTGAAAATTTTTAATGCTGGATTAATTTATATTTCTCTTGTTCTCAATCCTCTGTAACCCCTTGCGTGCTAGTGGCACTCCCGCCTTGCTTGGGGTGAATTGCGTATATAAAAAAAAAAGATATGGGCGTTCTGAAAAAAAAAATCTTAGATAGCAAAATGATGAATTAAACGCAGTACTAGATGACCTTTCGGTCTAGAGGTTAACTCCTTATTCGCCTGTGCTTTCCAGCGCCGATGGGCAGGTATCAGTGACTTTCCTTCTTTGATCCTATTAATTTGATATATTTGTATACATGAAAAATCAAGAGATAACAGGTAGATAGATTACATACCTAGAGTGAATGGACGCATAAACACGTGTCAGCTCGCATACGCGTTTTCCATGCGCATGCGCCTGGGACACCTATCATAGATCGATAACTGGCAAACATAATCACTGGTTTTGATGTCTAAACTTTACTCACTATTGTAATCTTACCACTATTCTATTATTAACACGTTTCTTGCATATGTATAAATAAAAGTGTGAATAACTTTTCTTTTCGACTTAAAGATTCGTGGGTATAAGATAAATCTATTGAATTCATTGACATATATAAGATTTATTTCTTTTAAATACATCTCATAAAAAATGCTAATCACTGATGCAAACTTAATTTCAAAATTTTCCCTACTAAAAACATTAAGACGTTAAATTAAGATTGAATATATCGCCTTTATATACGTTTGTTTAACATTAGAGAAAAGATTTTTAAAATATATATTTATTTATTTAGTATGGACCACGAAATAAATATCTTAAAGAGAGAACTTTCGTTTTTCTTTAACCATTCAGTCAGTTATATGCTATGCGTGATACACACCTAGGCGATCATGTGTCCTTCGATACATGTCCCGCAGTTGGTTGTCATTTCTTTCTGCGGTAGACCAGTTGCCATCCAAAGCTATAGAAACTCGGTTTGTCCTGCTATTTACCCCTAGCCGTGGGGAGTTTAGAAGACGATTCATACCTTTCCCAAGGGTATTAGTACGTAACTGAATGTAATGCATTCGACTGGAATTCGAACCCGGCATATATACAAGGAATCAGTCAGTTATGTGCCATGTGTGATACACGCCTAGGCAATCAGGTGTCTTTCGATACATGACTGACGAGGCAGATTTTTTTCCTGCAGTAGGTTGTCATTTCTTTCTGTGGTAGACCAGTTGCTATCTAAGACTATAGAATCCGGTTTGTCCTGCTATTTACCCATAGCTGGGAGGAGAAGAAGAGAACCAGGTTTGTCCTGCTGTTCAAAATAATACAGATCAGTGTTTCTTTATTTGTCTCTAGAATACCAGAATGTGCCTTCGGGTTTCACTGTCGCACTTCTCATCTTCTGTTAAAACACTTCCTAGATATTTAAAATTTTTCTTTAACTTAGGTGTCTTCAAATTGCAAATCGCATGTTGGGCTGTTCATTTTGCTGACAACAATATATTCTGTCTCCTTACAACCCTTTTGCTATCAGTATTGGCCATTGGGTTTCAGTGTGGCATTTTGCATCCGCAGTTAAGTCAATCAGTCAGTTATGCGCCATGCGTGATACACGCCTAGGCGATCATGTATCTTTCGATTCTGACGAGGCAGATTTTTTCCTGCAGTAGGAATCCTGCCATTTCTTCCTGCGGTACACCAGTTGTCATCCAAGGCTATAGAATCCTGTCTATCCTGCTGCGGGTGGGGGGAGTAGAAGAAGAGAATTCATACCTTTCCCAAGGGTATTATAGCACGTAAGTGGGTGTAATGGATTCGACTGGAATTCGAACTTGGCTCCCCGATTTCTTAATCCGAGTCGCTATCCATTACTCCAACGCTATGATGTAAAATCCTCTCGCAGTCTAATGTTAACTGAGGTGAAATTGTGTCATTTTGCGTAAGATTTTGCATGTTATCGAATTAAGAAGGAAGACGTGAATGTTTTTATATGAAATCGATTCTGCTGATGGTTTTGTTAAATAAAGAAATATATTGGTTTCTTTTTGTTCAATATTTAATATGGAATACAGCGAGAGCGTGAAAGCATTAAGGAAGATTTGTAAAATATATGGCAACAGAAAGAACAGTTCTAGTCAGAATTAGGAAAAGATAGCTGGCATTCTTTGGACACATAATGAGGAAGCGCTGCATGGAAAACTGAACCTACCCCCCAGGCATATTGAGGGCGAGATAAATAGGGGAGGGCAGCGAGTCACTGACGTCGAGATTTTGGGAATGAATGGCAGAATGGAGGCTGGGAGAAAAACTACTAAGAAACACACGAGATAGAAAGTATGTGGAGAGCCATGATCGTTTATGTCTTAAGGGAATGCGACACATAGAAGAAGAAGAAGAAGAAGAAGAATCAAGTTTTAACTCATGGATTTTTGGAATAATATCATTATCTTTGTTAATTTTTTTTTACCATGGCGTCTCCTCCCATGTATCCTTCGGTTTTCTACAAAGGGAATATAATTAATGCCGTTGGAATATTTCTTTGTCTCTCAGATGAGAATTTGTTGAGGTTTATGAAACTAAAAATACTAGGCAATTCACGTGGATTAATGGACTCAGTATAGTTTGTGTCAAACTGAAGAAAAAAGAAAATATTAGGTTGGTGCATAATTATCAGGCGTTTTTCTAGGCGAGATTTGCTGTTTTGTATATTTTTAAAAAATATATTTTTAATATTATTTTATTTTCAGGTTATAAGAACGCGTGTCGATAATCGTACGCTTCGGAATAATCATTTAAAATGTTACTGTTGCATTGTTATGTTTCTTTTTTCATAATAAATACAATTTAAAAACGTCTGATAATTATGCACCAACCCAATAGAAACATGGAAAAAATAATGAAAAATAACGGATAAATAAAACCTCAGAAAAACACAAAGCCAGCAAATAAACCAAGGATAAAGTTATTAAAAAAATCGTGAAGCAAAAATCATTTCATTCCAAGCAAAGCGACGATGCCCCTAAGACGTAAGAAGGTTACTGTGAGTGAAGAGAATGGAAATTTCTTCTTCTTCTTCTTCTTCTTCTTCTTCTTCTTCTTCTTCTTCTTCTTTGTGCCGTGTCCCTTCAGGACGTAGGCGATCATGACTCTCCCCAATTCCCTGTTCTTTGTAAATTTCATGTTTTCGGTATCTCTCCTAATCCCGATTCTGCCAAACATTTACGTAAGGTCGTTAGGTATATTATGCACATCTTTCCTTTGTCCCACATACCTTCATTATGGTCTGCCAGGGTAAAAAATTCCAAGCCGTCTTTCCTTTTTTGTGCTATAGAAATTTCAACTGTCTCTTTCTGATGTTAAGTATAAACCTTTTTTTCTTTCCATATTTCCTTTTTGTTCACATGACTTTCCCATATTTCTGTTGTCACGCCCTTTTATCGTTTTTCATTGTTAAGATTGTCCAGCATTCACTGCCAGATAGGAGGACCGATTTTACATATCTGTTCAGTACTTTTTTCTAACGACATTTTTATGTTTATTTGGAAGGATTCTTTCGTTATCAGAACGTGACTTCGGATTTCGGTGTCGCTATTTCCGTTCTCTGCTGAAGCACATCCTAAATGCTTTAATTTTTGTACTTGTTTGATTTCAGTATTCCCGATACAACTTGTACTTTTCCTGTTGCGCTGTCCTTTGTACTGACAACTATGTATTCTATCTTCTTACAATTGATGTTTAGTCCTTATTTCTTGCTTTCCTTCATTACCTTCTCTAAGAGTTATTGGTGCTTCCTTTCTGTGTCCTTTATCAACACTGTGTCATCTGCATATATTATGTTGTTAAGACTATGGCCGCCAATAGGACTAATTCTTTCGGGATTGCTTCACTCTAAAAGTTGAATAAGCCCGGAGAGAAATTCACTTTAATTCACTGATGTCCCCAAGGACACATAGCCCAGTGGATAGAACGTTGATTGAAGTAATCTAGTGAAGACCGGAGCGTACAACGACCGAAACGTCGTGAATATGACAATAAAGATGATGACAACAGTCCGAACAATGTAAATAGTGTAAATAGTTAAAAAAGCTCATCTCAGAAAATTGCACAGATCTTGAAGAAGGCCGTAGCACACAACATCCGAAATATCTTGAATATGAAAATAAAAATGAGGGCAACAGCCCGAACAATGTAAATAGTTAGAATAGCTCATCTCAGAAATCTACACAAATCCTGAAGAAGGTCGAAGTGTACAATAGCCGAAACGTCTTGAATGTGATAATAAAAATGAGGACAACAGCCCGAACATTGTAAATAGTGTAAAAAGTTACAATAGCACATCTCAGGAATATAGGAAGATGTTGGTTAAATCTATAAACAATATATTTTTTGAAATTCAAATAACTTCTTAACTTGACTTTCTCTAGTTATTAGTGAGAGTGGAAAAATTATGTTTCGATAAGATTTTATGGCTGATATGAAAAACTTCAATTAATATATATATATATATATATATATATATATATATATATATATATATATATATAAAAAGTAATTAAAATTGATTTAAAAAAAGAAAGAACCAAAAACATCAGAAAAGAGCGAAACAAATCGTCCAGTGCCTTAATTCTTTAGTCCAAAGAAAAAAAAGTCAAGCGAGTAGTAAGACTAAAACGTAGAGTGCTCAATACGCTAAGTAGAGTGGAATAACTAAAATAAATCCTAAAGAGCTAAGAAAACCTACCTAGGTTTCACGTAAACAGATCTTCAGAGTAAGTTGGCTTACCTTGAAGATACGTTTACGTGAAACCTAGGTAGGTTTTCCTGGCTTTTAGAATTTATTTATATATATATATATATATATATATATATATATATATATATATATATATATATATACGAACAGCCTTCGATTAATTTGCATTCGAATAATGTATTTTCGATTAGTTCGCTAAAATTTTTATATACCAAAATTCGATTAGTGCTTACATAATACTCGATTAGTGCGGTAAAACATTCTTCGGTTTTACCATAGTAATTAAAAATTGATTTTTTATTGTTACCCATGTACATATTGGACGCACTAACCGAGGGATTCAGTTTTTCACTTTTGCTCCCTTCTCCTCGTGGGTAGTGGGTAGTAGGAGATGGTAACGTCGACAAGTGTAAATTTATCACTGAACATCTATCTATCTATCTATCTATCTATCTATCTATCTATCTATCTATCTTCTAGATTATTTATATCTATCTATCTATCTATCTATCTATCTAACAAGTCACATGAAAAGAAAATTAAATTGTAGAAGTTTTCTTTTTTAAATTCAAAGTAACTTGATTATTTTGACTTTGATAGTGAGCGAGGAAAGAAAACGTCTTCAATGTTATGATTCGATGAGTCAAAAAATTTCATAGCTGATATAAGAAAGTTGAATTTTAAAAAAATAGATTATTTTATATTCACCTTTTCCTCTCCCCTCGTTTGTATAGGGCAGGGGGAGGGTGACGTCGATAAATGTAAATTTCGAAATCCTACTTTCTTTAAATTATGAATTCCCATAACTTATAAACTTGCCATAAATATTAGAAATCTCAGTCATCGCCAATGTGTATATCTTGATTCCCAGTCTCCTGGACTTAGGCAATTATAGTCGAAAAAGAAGACCCCGCCCCGACACACTGACAGGCAGACAGACGCACACACACACACACACACACACACACACACACACACACACACACACACACACACACACAGACACACAAACGCATGAACAATTTCTCCTGTCTCTTGCATCCACAGACGTATTGACATTCACCCCCTCACAGAATTTTACAAATTTCCCTTCATTTCACACATATACACAAATGCTTGCGCATCCGTCTTCTTTCTTATACACAGATGCGTACAAATTTTCATAGAAACATAGAGATCTTCGTATATACTTAGTGAGACAGACGGGTAGACATTTATTAGACACGCATACACATTCTGAGACAAATATACACAAACGCATACACGTTCTCATTACGCCACGTACACGCTCATATAGAAATGAGCGTGCAAGAGAAATAAAACGAATTAAGAACAGAATTCTTATCTTTATATGAAAAAAAAAAAATCAAACAAAAAGAAACCCACTCCAGCCAGTGTTTTGGGATTTTGCCATTCAAAGAAATGCCATTTTGTTACGTTCTGTTCATTATCTATTTTACAACTAATGTTTTTTATTTTTTATTTTTTCTCCACTGAAATATTCTTTTTACTCTTAAGGGAAATACAGTTGGGAAGAAATATTCGTTCTACACACCATTTTCAGAAATTTATCTGGGCAGCTGGGGAAATATAATTAACTGTAAGTTTTTGTTTATGTGTGCCATTTTGATGCTTACTGATGTCATTTCTGTTTACTTGTGCCCATTTGCTGCTTACTTGCGCCATTTTGTTGCTTACTGATGCAATTTCTGTATACTTGCATCATTTTATTGTTTACTTTCACCTTTTTGCTGTTTACTTGCGCTATTTTGCTGTTGCGCCATTTTGTTGTTTACTTGTGTTATTTTTCTGTTTACTTACGTCATTTTGTTGTTTATTTGCGCCATATTGTTGTCTACTTGCGATATTTTGTTGCTCACTTGAACTATTTTGCTGGTTAATTGTGCGATTTTGCTGTTTACTTTCGCTATTTTGTTGCTTACTTATGTAATTTCTGTTTACTTGGGCTATTTTGCTGGTTACGTGCTCTGTACCTTTTGCTTTGATTTGTGTTTTTGATTCTATTTACCACATAGTCCATCAAAATAATGCACTAACATTTCATTTAAAGGTTATTCTTTATTTAGGTACCGTGTTTTTTCAGGAAGTGAAGGAATATTTCTCTCCACAGCTTCCTGTCTTTGTTGATATAATTAACTTCTGATTCATTACCAGCCCCCTTTGTTCATGTTCCGTCACGCCTTCACACAAATTCATTAAATAGGTTATTTTCCTCCGTTACTTTTGTTGCCTATAATATGTCCTTGTGAGTGTTTAATTATCTAGGCCTTCTTCTTTTATTAACTGTCTCAGAAATTTAAAATGTCTCTTTCTGATTGTAAGTATAAGTTTCCGTTTCCTTATTTTCCTTAAAACTTCCTCGTTGATCACATGTTCAGTCCATGTTATTATTATTAATAATAATAAAATAATAAGCGACGTAAACTAATTGTTTGAATGGATGGTACAGCAGAAACTGGATAATGGATAATAAGGAGACAAACATTGCTCAGAACTACAAAGTTTAGGAAGCTGTGGAGAGTAATGATCACCCACGCCCTAACTGGGCATAAAAGAAGTAGGACCTATCAGCCAGTTTCCCATCGTCTCTTGTCCCGTGAAATTTGAATGCGAAAATTGAAGACAGCTGTCAAGTAGTTTATTCTAGAACATTTACGACAAAACAAATGAAGAATAAATGGACGGACCAAGGATTGTGAAAATGTAAGAAATTTGTTGAATGGAATTGGATACACATAGAGAAAAGCGCAAAGAAAATCGACATTAATGTCTGAATAGAAGAAAACAAGATCAAAGTGGGATGAAGAGAAGCAATTAGAAAGTGTGAATGATGAGGTGAAAGTGATATTTAGAAATGGACCACAAATCTGCATTGGTAATGATGATGATGATGATGAAACTTTTGTCTGATGCCATTCTAATGAAACATATAAAAATGACTGCCTAAAGGACACACGTAAATCTATTCTCTCATTTAAAACATATGGTTGTTGTTTTTGTAATAAATTCACCCCAAGCAAGACGATAATTCCACTAAGACGCAAGGGGCTACTGGGAGGGAAAGAGAATGAAAAGACTTCAGAAGGGACCAGAAACCCAATCCTAAAAAAGGAACAAGGGAGAAGGAAAACAAGACCATCGAGATTTCAAGAGTTAAATACAATGAATTACAGGCCACATTAAATGGCTGCACAGATGTTACTTGTAGGGACATAATGGATTGATGTGATAAGCATTCAAGCACAATTATTGATTCTATATGTCAATCCTTGTTGGTTATTCAATGTCGACTTTTATACGGTGGGTTTATTGACTAAGTAAGGCACGAGTTCATTATTAAATAGAAATTGTCAGACAGTTCAGCCTCGCTAAACATTCCTTCATGCGAAGGCACCTATATCAGAACACGTGTACTGGAACCAATTAATGGTAAACGAGAGGATGACGATGTCTAGGTATGCAGCCAAGCTAATCACATTCGGTTTCTTACTATTTATTTTCCTTATCGATGGTGTTTTAAATATATCACATTGTAATAAAACAGGTTTTGTTAAGAAATTGGTTATATATATATATATATATATATGTGTGTGTGTGCGTGTGTGTGTTTTAGAGAAAAAGCTATGAAAAAGTGTGAAAAGATTTTGTGTGACGCAAAAACATAGGACTTCATCGGAACAAATGTAGAAACGCGTCGCACGAAAAATTTTTCCACTTTCTCATACTTTTTCATACAAAATTGTTCTTGATAAATGTTATGGTCCGGTTTCTTGTACCACGGTGATAGTCCAAGGGAGAACCAATAAAGAAGAATTCGAACACGGATATAGAATAACACAGATATATTACAAACAGGAATATATACAGAGAAGTAGAAAGTGTTAGTACGAACAATCAGGTTTAGTAGTAATTGTCTGAACGCGACTCTGTTTCGGACTGCCTCTGACTCGACTGACTGACTGACAGACTCCTGACGGACTTCACTCCAGACGTCAGACTGAACTCTCTGCTTCCTCTTGAGGCACAGTATTTATTACGTATGGAATAGTCCATTATGTTATTATGGGTAAGGTCCCATAACAATAAATAAAATAAATATTGAGCGATTTCCCATATACATGTGTCTGTGTATATATATATATATATATATATATATATATATATATATATATATATATTTATATACACACATATATATGTATGGATTTCTTTTATTCATTCGACGAATTTTTTATCACTTTAAACGTTATTTTTAGTGGATGCACATAGTTGAGTAGACACTCCTTTTATTTATTAAACAGCATATTTATTTATCTTCGTCTACCGGTCTGAATGTTTGAGTAAACCTATTAAAGAAAAGAGTGCGTAAATTGTTTTCCTATTTGTTTTTTTTATTTGCTTCCTATATTATTGAACTGATATGTATTTGCTGAACTCATCGGACGAGAGAAATTCAGATATATTTATTTATTTACATCTATTGTTCTGAATATTCAAGAAATCTTGTTATGGAAATATTCTCGGAGATTCAGGCCGGTTGACGTAAATAACTAAATATACTGTTTAATAAATAAATAAAAGCAAAGCATCTATTTAAATACAAGTATACATTAAAAAAAAATAACGTTTAAACAAATAAATTAGAAATTTATATATATATATATATATATATATATATATATATATATATATATATATAATAATATTTTTTTTTTAAAAAATATGATCTCTTCGCTACATAAGAGTTCTCATGTTTCAAAAAGGAGAGTCGAAAACCTCAATATAATTATTAAAATTAAATTAATTAAAGTATCAAGCCCTGTTTCATCCTCAAGCAAAAATTTAGGAATAACCAATCTTGAAATTTACGCATCTTTATAAGCACGTTCATTCGGAAAATTAATTACTATGGAAACGGCTGGGGCGACCATTTTGATAAGGGGCCTAAGTGTTAATTTTTATCCACATATCAGTCACCTTCGGAAAGAGGTCAAGCCGAGGTAGGATCGGGGTGTTCTTTTCAAAGCGAATGATGGCATTCATGTACGCGTATCGTCTGGTCAGTCACAGCGAAAGATAGCTGTTAGCACCATAATATGTCGTTAAGTGTCGAGAGAATTTTTTTTAATTTTATTTATTTATTTTATTTTATTTTTTCCCTAAATGGCTGTTTTGTACATAAACGCGTCGCACTGAACTACAATTTGTTTTTTTGACGACTTCATAAAGGGTTTTTCTATCTTATGATTGGGTTAGCTTTTAAACCTTTTGTTAGACTATGAAATTTATTTATTTTTTATGCTAATTATTTAATGCGAAAGTTTGTTGGTGTCGGCAAAAAACCGTTAACTCATGTCTATGTTTTAATAAATTTTCATTATTTAGCTACTTAATAATGTGTAGTTTTTCATGTAGGCTTAAAGGGCATGGTTCATTCCAGGTTTTACAAGTTCTTGTTCTATTTATTATTTTCCATTTTACTTTTGGTGTTTTATTCATTT